CTTTTTCCCTCTTGAACTAACGATTTAGGCAAGAAATCGACTAACATGCTATTTTTAAATAAAGACTTTCATTTCAGGTCATTCACTAATTCATTATTTTTTAGACACCTGAAAACTTGATATAAGCAAGGGGCTTTGATTGCTTAAATCAGAAATAAGGTTACAATGTCATCTTGCCCTCAAAGAGCATATTCATCTAGTATGGAAGAATTTATATTGATAAAGTATTGTTCTTACACTTCAAAGAAAATTCCCAACATGGGAGATAAGCATGTATAAACTCCACTAGAAAGTTTTTCTGTGTTTTTCTAAAAACAACCTAATATTAGAGGTTGGCTATTAAAGAAAAGTAAATTTTACAGCCACTATAGAACTGCTTACTACCAGCTAAAACCTCTAGCCTCATTGTGAAATGTTGTTAGTATTCCCCAGGGACTTTCTAGAGAAAATTTTTGTATTTGCAGTGATACTAGACTAGATCATCCCGAAGAGCCCTACCAACTTTTAGGATTATATGAATTAGTAATCTGACCAGATTACTTTCTAATACTAGTCATATCCTGTCTACATTCAGTACTTAGCAACCATTTATTTTCCGGACAGGCTTCCTATCTCTCTGTCATTTAGAAAATAAGGTCAGTGTTCCCTAACGTCACTTCTACAGATTCTAGGAGCCCAGTAATAAGACCTTTAAGAGTGCTCTCCTTCCCTCACAGAATTTGTGCTTTCTCAATTGATGCACTTTTTCCCCCTCACTTCCTGGTTTTTTATCTTCATGAACACTAATTGGGAGAGGAAGTTTAAGGTTAACACTAGATGATAGCTCAGGGAAATCCAAGTCAGCTTTCTGCCTCACTGAACAGCCAGAGAGTGAATCTGTATTGTTTTAAGTCAGTAAGTTTGTGGCAATTTGTTATGACTTCAACAGAACACTAATGCGCAATTGGTAAGCGGGGGCTGATAAGTCCCACCTCACAATTACTACTAAGACTTTCATCTGAAGTGAAGGTGGAAGATGACATTTTGGACCATGTGGTACCTGAGGGACTTGAACTGTATGGGGACAATGATAAAGATTGTGGCTTTAGTTAGTTTTATTAACTGCTTTGGATAAAAATGACAGGCTCAAGTCAGCCAAATATCAACAGCAAGAAAACCAGAAAACCTTTGAGGCAAGAGCTAAGGAGAGCCTTATCTCCTGCCACAGGGGGCAACTACCCAAAACAGGCCCAGAATCTAATTGTGAGATAAAACTCAGTACGGACAATTGGACAATTGCTTACCAGAGTGGGAGCCTTGATAGGAAGACCTGGGGGCCTAAGTAACAACAGGGTGGATGAACCTGGCAGTGTTGAAAGCTGCTCTGTTCTTTCTTGCCTGAAGGTCCTACTAAGGCCACAAGTGAAATAGAGGCTTGCAAGGTCAAGCATCTTGGTGTTTGACGGCCAAGGTCATTGAACCTGCTGGGCTCTCAACACTGCCTGAGGGAGCAGAGAAATACAAGCTCTGAGAGAAAATAGCTTTAAGACTGAAGGGAACTGCAGAAATGGGAAATGTGTGTGTAAAATGTGTGTGTACTAGGAGATCTTGAAGATGTCGGGGTGGAGGTTGAGGAAGAATATAGAGTTGATTTTTCCATGACTTGGAGTGAAGGACACCTGAAGTTGTTCTGCCAGGAAGGGTACCAAGGTATGGGCACACGGCACACAGTGAAAGGTGGAGATGGATGACTGTCATGGTGTAGTATTAAGAAAAGGGATGGAAAGTTCCAGAAAGAGTGAATTTTAGAATGGATCTGTGATGTGACTCTGAGAAACCACCTAATTCCAGTCCCCAGGAGGACAGTGCCTTCACTGAGGCGATAAAAGAGTACTTGGCAGGAACTCACAGGCATCTACAAAAGTCTCAGTGATGGCTGCCCACTCAGGTGGGGGCTGACAGGAGGAAGTGCTGCCATGGATGCAGGCATGCTGCTCTCAGTGGGAATGATGGGATTCTGGAATGGCATAGCCATGCATTAAATGTCAGAGGCAAGGTGGTGGATGCAATATAATGGACAGTCAGGCTGGAGCGGAAATCAGGATGCCTTGACTGGAGGAGGAGGGCTTTGAGACAATGACTGACAGATCTTGGGGTTCTAAGTGACAGCTGGCTAGAGTGTTACTTGACTTGTAGAAAGAAAAGTCCTATCGAAGAGGCAAACCGGCCAGCAGCAACCTGACATGCTCTGTCACAGTGAAAAAGCCATGGTCCCACATCTAAGTTAATTCACAGATCCAGTGCACAGGGAAGGGGAGGCCAGGCATCCCTGAGAAAAGGCCCTGCTGCCACAGTACAGCTGACCCTTGAACCACAAAGTCTTGCCCTCAGATGTGGACACCAAGGATACAGTAAGCCCACTATAAATGTGCAGACTTTCCACTGCTGGGGGAGGGTAGGGGCCAGCTCCCTCTCACCCCCTAGGTGGTTAAGGTTCAACCCTGGATTTTAAATTCATGTTTCTGGCATTAATATGCAGCTATTTCTTTGAAAAATTCATTGTTAATTTTCACCAAAGGAGAATCAAGAGCAGTAGTCATTGCTCTGGGATGGTCAGCAGATTCTCATTCACTCTTGCACCTGGGCGATGTTAAATCTGCTCTATGTCACAGTACCGTCTAAGCGGACCTTAACTATCGGGACATTCTGCAGAGTTACATCATGCTGGTCCACCTTAGCATGTCAGCGTGCTAGGTGGATCTGGCGTCAGAAAGTGCCAAGAACTCCAGATGCCCAAGTTAGACTTACAGGGTGAGAAGCTCCGTAACAAATCAGGGGCCTGTCACATTGAAAAAGTTTAGAAGGCATGACATGGGAGATGCCTATATATTCCTTTTAGGTAAAGGATCATTGGTTGCAACTTGTTCTCCTTAGCCCTGAAACAGGCAATGGTTTGATAGGACTCTGAATTTGAGAAGCACATGTATTGTACTTGGCATATTCCTCTCCTGCCCATATACCAGGCCTGCCAGTTTCAAATGGATCTTTCTTTCTCTCTCTCTCTCTCTCTCTCTCTCTCTCACACACACACACACACATACACACACACACACGATCTATAGCAATTTCAGACCAGTGCAAGCAACGTTGCTACTCTAGCAGATACATGGAAATTAAAAACACCGTAGAGAATGGCACCTCCAGGAGAAGGTTACAACACAGCCCTGCAGGGTCCCGGATTGAGGCAACAGAGAACTACTTAGGCTCCTGGCATGCTACAGGTGCGCTCCCTAGATTGATCTCCTGATTAGAGGACGCTTGGGGACTCAAGGGATAAATCTGTCTCCTCAAGAGATGCACAAACTCAAATTCCAATACGCACGGCAGTGATTCATGCTCATTGAAATCAACACCCACTCAGGATAGGGGTTTGCCTTTCCTACCTGCAGCGTGTCCTCCAACACAGTCATGCTGTGAAGTACAGGATACTGATCCGCTGTCCCGGTCTCTCCCATGGCATTGCCTCGAGTCCACTTTTTCGGCAAAGGTAGTAGTTGACAACTGCAGCAGGCAGGGCATGCCGGACCAGGAGGCAGGCAGGCAACGGAGCTTCCCAGCCCCCCATGAATATTTACGCTCGTTCTCCGGGTTCTCTCTGGTGTTCTCTCATCCGTCATCTCATGGTCTCAGCCCTTCTTTGGCCCTGCCACTCGCTCTCTCACTACTACCCTGCTGCCGCTGCTGCTGGTTTTACCCCAGCCTCTAAGCTCGGATGTGCACACATGCGCGCACACCCATGTTCCAGGTGCCCACAATCAGGCACGCGTGCCCCATGCCCACACTCCCAAGTGCCTTCTGCATTAACACAATTAAGGCCTCAGCTGAGAGCCATAGAGGCTACTGGCGCAAAAAGCCTGGTTAATTCATTTACCCCACAGTGGTGGGGCGATGGACACACGCCCGCAGATCTAGGCATCTCGGCTACATACCCCAGCACCAGAAACAGCCTGCAGAAATGAAATGATGGAATGGCTCAGCCGAGGCACCAGTGATCCAACAGTACCTTGTAGGTCAGCCTCCAGGATTTGGTGTACAAAGGCCGATCGAGTGCCCTATTGTTAATCTGCACAGGCCTGGGGACCCAAGGGTAGAGTAGGATCGACTCTTCTCACCTTCACAGCCAGTGACCCACTCGAATTTGTGATTCTCTTGCAACAAGCTAGGCTTGGCTAGATGAGAGGCTTTGGTTCCTGGGTCAGGGGGACGCTTTCACCAGAGGGTGCAGTAAGGGTCCAGTGAATTGCAACCTACGATTATCGCCTGGTCACTTTGGGCTTCCCTGTGCCAGCTGATAAGCAGGCAAAGCTAAGCAGGGGCAGAGGCACCCTCGATCAACGGTGAACAGGAGCTGTTGAGAAATGCTTTCCTCTATGGACCTTGAGGAAGTGAGTTTCTTATGGCTCCCAGAGGACCCTGCAGGACTGAGCGCTGGTCTATTGCGCAGGCTGAGTGCTCTCAGCTCTCCCTGTACTCTCCCCTGCGCCGCACTGCTGCTCTGCAGGATCACGTTCCCAGTAAGTTACTCTGCATGGAAACGTTTGTCCTGTTTGGGAGGGACCCAGTCTAAAACCCTCGCTGTCTGGACTGCTCTCAGCCTGCTCCTCCAGAGTCACTCCTGTTGCTCACCCAGACGTCAGCTCATCATCTCAAAGTGGCCTTCCTTGATGAGCTGATCCAAAGTTGCAAGCTTCTAACATCAGCATTCCCACTTGACTTCTCTGCACAGTAGCTCTCACTAGCTGATACTATACTTTGAGGGGAAAAAAAAAAAGATTTTGTTATTGCCTGCTTTGAAAGAAAATTTCAAAAAAAAAATTGTGTTCCTTGTCTAGCACTAGAATATCTGACATGGGACAGGAAGGACCTGGACTATTTTCAGCACCTTAGAATAGGTACCTGCCACATAGCAGGCACTGGTGAAATACTTGATGAAATGAGTGAATACTAGAGTTCGCAAGCAACACAAGATCCCAAATTGAGCCAGAACCTAAGAGGATGGAATTGGGGGGTGGGGGTGGGGGACGACAAAATGGCATATCTTAAATTTAAATTTATTTAAAAATTACAAAAATGTCTTCACCCAAGTTGTCCAAGAAAAAAAACCAAAAGCAGCAAGAGTGATCTTGGTGAGTCACCAGTAGTCTAGTGCCGTTTATAAAATTGAGCAGAACTTCGATGTGTGCCTTATGCCTCTGTAGACGCGGGGCCCCTTCTTTAGGTCCCTTTCTTTCGGCTCTGGCAGTACCATTATTGGGCCGCTTTCCGAAGCCTTTTTCCTTTGGACTCTGTGCAAGATGATTCGGTAGACTCCGGTGATGGAGCTCCGGGCGTCTCTCCCTTGGTTATTTCGAATATGCTCTTCTGTGATACCCAGATGCTGTAAAGTGCTCTTGACCTCATTTTCTTCTTCTTTGAGGATGCTGGTTTCTGACAAATGTTTGGGATCCAGCTGGAAAGGCTCCAGAGGGGTCGGGTAGGGCACCCCCTGCATCCACTCGTTGTTCATGATGGAGTCGATGCCCAGCCTGTCGGTGGGGGTGGGCTGCAGGATGCCCCGAATGAGGCGCAGGCAGGGCCCGGACACGTGCGGGGGCACGCTGTAGGCGCCCTCCAGGATGCTCTTCTTGAGCTTGGCCACGGTCTCTGCCCGAAATGGCATGGTGCCGGTGACCACGAAGTACAGGAGCACTCCCAGGGCCCAGACGTCCACGTGCACGCCCACGTAGTGCTCGTCTCGGAAAAGCTCAGGCGCCGCGTATGGGGGAGACCCGCAGAAAGTGTTCAGCATCTCGCCCTTTCTACTTACTGTGCTGAATCCAAAGTCGCCCACCTTCACGCAGGTGTTACTGGTATAGAACACATTTTCTGCCTTCAGATCTCTGTGAATAATTTGGTTTTCGTGCTGTGGAAGAAGACAAGGGGAAACAATCATTTTTAAAATGAAATACACAAATAAAAAAATGTTTTATCAGTTGCTCTGAGACAGTGAGCAACTGTGTGTTAACAGGAATTCAGTGGCGATCACTTAAATCCTATCAGAACAGTGAGGCTGCCTACATAACCTTCAGCCTCATGCAATACTCCTCCCACCCCCAAGGAGACCCAAGGTTCTAATCCCCTGTGGGGTGAGGACTGGAGTCTACCCGACACACGTGGACTGAGGAATGAGGGCCAGAAGCAAGACCCAAAGCTTATGAAACTACAAGCTCTGAAACAAGGAAATAGTAATCCTTTGTTTTTGAGGCCCTGTGTCAGTTTTTCTGGCCGAATGATCTCTTGAATAGGGCCAAGACCAAGCAGGCCTGGAGGCCTCCTCTGACTGTCTAACCATTCCTCTGGGTGGGCCCCTTTATCTTTCTGGAACTCAGTAGAAGGGAGGAGGGCCTTAGTGGCTGGTCCCACAGTGGGTTGTGCGCGTGCACATGACCCCCTGCCCTTGCATTCTGGATCCAGACAAATGAGCTTGGAGACCCTTGACCTATTCAATCCCAAGGGCTCTTGGGAAATAGTTTAACATGACTTTTCCCAGTGGACCTCCTGGGGTAAGAATCCAGGCTTTGGAGACTGACAGCTTCGGTCCATTCTGGGTTGAACACACCACATAGGTAATGCGAGGGACAGTTTTCCTTTGTCGAATGGAACACGGATAACCGCTGCAGCGGCTGTGGTGAGGGCTATATGTGGTTCTGTCTTTGCTCTGTTTACTCACAGAGTAAACAAATTCGATAAAATGCAGGTCTGTCTACGACTCACCCTTCTTTCTGGAGACCAGAGAACTGGGAGAAATGCCAGGGCACTGAGCTTCAAGAACTCCGGCTGTAAAAATGGCTTCTCAGAGGAGCCTCCTGTGGGATCCTCTACTACTGGATTTTTTGTTCTCCCACCTGATTTTTTGTTCCAAAGAGAATGTAGAAGACTCTCTGCCTGTGTGTTCTACTGCTTGCTGTGGGCCTGGCTGATTCCCTGATCACCCCGGCACAGAGGCCCTTAAATGACAACTGGGAGAACCAGGCCTGAAACTCATTCCGCCAACTCTACACTCAGCGTCTCTCTTGCTCACTCTCTGCCCTCCCTGTCTCCCTCCCCACTGCTCTCTCGGGCTCACTAGGTCACTAACACCCCCCCCGCCCCCCCCCCCAAATAATCTGGCCAAGAGCCACTAATCTCAGTTCTTGCCTCACAACATCAGGCAGAAGAGAACTAGAGGCAGCCTCTCAACTAATACAGACTCCAGACAAGCGGTTCGCCTGACAACCAGACCGAGATGTGGGTGAAGGGGGTGGGCCGGACGTTGCACTACCGAGAGGAGTAAAAGCGGTTCGCTGGGCTGCAAGTCTAGACCCTCCCGTGGCCCAGCAATGCGGCAGCAGTGGATGGACGGAAATGCAGTCCTCGGAGGAGCCAGGGAACGTGGTGTGGGAGTCAAGATTTAGCTAAAGAAATAACCAGAGAATGAAAATACGAATGACACGATCAAGTATGATTGTGAGGCAGCCGGAGTGAGATGTTCGCCGAGGGCAGGGAAGATCCATGTGAGCTGACGTGAGTGAAGAAAGTTTCACTGAGAGGCAGACCCGAGCTGGGTCATGACGTGCGGGATTTGGAATGAGGCACAGGAGGAGGCATCTGAGACACAGAATAAGGGAGGCAGCGAGAAGCCAACTCTCTGGGGAGTGGAAGATGCGGTTGGAGACATGGCTGACACCATGGAGATGATGTTTGTCTGCCAACTTCTGTAGGAAGCAGGAGGCTGCCCATCTCCAGAGACCCCTCAGCATTCCTTCCGAGGCATGGAGCAGGGTCCCAGCCAGACTCCTGACTCTCACCGAGGGGACCGTTTCTGCCTCATGGGACTTAAGCCCTCTGGGACGGTGAGGTGGCAGCAGACTAAAGCCCTGCCCGCCCCCCGCCCCCCTGCCAATGTAGGTAGAGTGGGAGCAAGACTCTCCCTCCTCACCCCTGCTCACCATGTGCTTCACGGCGGACACAATCTGAGAGAAGATGAGCTTGCTTTCTGGTTCTGAGAGCTTCCCTTCCGTGCTGATTTTCCCGAAGAGCTCCCCACCCCCTGCATACTCCATTACCAGGTGGAGCTTGGATAGGGTCTCCACGACTTCGTAAAGGCGGATGATGTTGGGGTGGTGCAACTTTTCCATGCTGGAGATCTCCCGGGAGAGCAGCCTTTGGGTTTTCTGGTCTAATTTGGTCTTGTCCAGGATCTTAATGGCCACCTTTTCTGGAAAAAGAAAAGTCAGAGTCAGATTTGCAAGAGCATAGATATTTAGAAGTGACCTAGAGCGGTCCCTTGCTTTACCTACACACAGAGGTTAAGTGCCTGTCCCAGGCTTGCAGGTCAGTGGTTGTGACAGGTGGTAGTCCCAGTGTCCCCATCTGTGTAGTCCTGGATCGATCAGTGTGAGGCTTTGATGCCAACCCCTCTTTGATGCCAACCCCTTTGAAGCCTCTCAAGGAGGTTTCAGTTTTCTAAATAAAGTTTCTTTGCTCAGCCAAGAGAATCCTTCTTGATCAGATGCAAGTGCCACCTTTGCCTCATCATCTACCACTTCTGTCCACCATCCTCACCTCCACATGCACCTGTCCTACCAATGCAGTACCTTTTGTTGTTTCTTGAAAAGATACTCAGTATTCATGCTTAGGACCATTCCTCTCCCTGGATCTGCCTGAATCTTCCTGGGTCATCTTCGCTATCGCTCATCACTCCTTCCCTGTTCTTTACTGAGCTAATTACTGATGATCCTTTGGCACTAGCTTTAGAACCAGTCTCTTCCAGGAAGCCTTCCATAAACCCTGTCCTAGGAAGGTCATTATGTCCACATTCTATCATTATCTGTCCTATAATCTCAGCACACTTGGCCTATAAATGTCATCTGTTTCCACCTCCTTCCCTGTAGAGACATGTTCTATCCAACTCTGCCTGGGACATGAGGTAGCAGGACTTGCCACACTGGTACTCAGGTTTTGTGGGTGATGTTGAGGATACACCGAGACTGGAACTGCATTGTGCTGCTGGTGGGAGGGTTATGTATTCTAGACTGTAGTGCAGATTTATGTGTCAAGCACCTTCTAAATGGTCATGCCCTATGACCCAGCTATTTCACTGCTGGCAATTAATCTTAAAGAAATAATCTGACACATGTATAAGAGTATGTGTGTGAGAAGATGCCTGTGCTACTGGAATAGCTTCATTGTTCAAGAAGAGGGTGGGTTTTAAAATAAACTGTAGCGGGCCTCCCCCGTGGCGCAGCGGTTGAGCGCTGGGTTGCGAAGCTGCCCGCAGCCTCTGCAGTGCCGGTTCAATCCCCAGCTGCTCCCCTGCCACTGGAGGAGGGTCCCACATGGCGCGCAAACCTCTCCTGCCGCCCGCTGCTCCCCTCAGCAGTGTACTTCGGTCCTTCTGCCTGCTCTGCTCCCCGCTCTGGCTCTGGTGAATTCTCTCACCCTCCCATGTGCTTCTGACTGTACCCAGTGCATGTATAAACAAAACAAACAAACAAATAAATAAAATAAAATAAAAGCATGCCTCTATTAAAAAAAAAAATTAAAATAAACTGTAGCTTATCCATCTATATCTATAATGTAACTATCAAAATAATGAGGTTGATCTTTATTTTTTTTTTTAAAGATTTATTTATTTATTTATACAAGCACTAGGTACAGTCAGAAGCACAGGAGGGTGAGAAGATTCACCAGAACCAGAGTGGGGAACAGAACAGGCAGACCGACGAAATACACTGCTGAGGGGAGCAGTGGGCGCGGCAGGAGAGGCCTGCGGGACATGTGGGACCCTCGCCGGTGGCCGGGGATCGAACCAGCGCTACAGAGGCTGCGGGCAGCTTCGCAGCCCAGCGCTCAACCACTGCGCCACCAGGGGAAGCCCTGATCTTTATTTTTGATGTGAAAAAGATGTTCAATGTAGAATGGTAAGGAAAAGATACAAATATACATTTGCAAGAAAAAATCAGGAATGATAATCACCAAAATGTTTAGAAAAGTCATATTATTATAGACAGTCATGAGTGATTTTCCTTTCTTTTTTTTTTTTGCCTATCTGTATTTTCTAATTTTTCTATAATCATACAATTGAAATCTACAATTAACATAGATTAATTGGCAATGAAAGCAGCTAGTGCTACTTTGAAAATGAATGAAACTCCAATCCAAAGCAAACTTCATTTTTTGGTCAGACCAGATCAAACTTTCTAGTAACTAAGAAAGAATTTATCAGGAATTTCTGGGAAAAACAGAATTGCGAAGTGTTTGCTTGACCTACTTGCAAAACAGCTGTTTTGAAGAATTTTGTTGTGGTGGTTATCAGCATGGGAATGGATGTAACCCGTTTAAAATAGGAATTATCAGTGTATTAAAGTCGGTCCATTGGGGCTTCTGGCATGGAAGGGGGCATGGTGCTCTGGGCCTGCTCCTTTCACTCCCTCTGCTTCCTTCTGCTTCTTCCGCTCTTCCTCTGCTTCCTCTGGTGGAGGCAAATTGGGAAGGGAAGAAGGAGGCCATGAGGGGGCAGATCCCTGTGTAACACCCGTGGCACCTGGCCCCAGAAGAGCGCCCTTTCCTGAAAATCCCTCCTGGTTGCATCTTTCTTCCTGCATCTTAGAGGAATCAAGATTCCTTTCAGGTATTTACCTGAAGAAGAAACTTCTGGGGCCCCCCTGGTGGCACAAGGGGTTAAGCACAGTACTATGAAGCTATCCACAGCCTCTGCAGCACGAGTTTGATCCCTGGCCAGGGAGCTACCCACACAGTGCAGCAGACCTCTCCTGTCTCGCCCGCTGCTCCAGCGTATTTCAGTCAGTCTGCCTGTTCTGTTCCCCACTCTGTCTCTGGTGAATCCTCTCACCCCTTGCACCTCTGGCCTGCACCCCGGTTCTTGTATGCATAAATAAATAAATCTTAAAAAAAAAAAAAGAAGAAACTTCTGGTTGTGTGTAACCTGGCGGGTAAGCTGTTACTTTAAGGGCCAGAATGGTAAATTCCACTGTGAATCTGGCTCATTGCCTGGAGCGGACACCTTGCTCCTCAGGGCAAGTGTTCAACCCTCTGGGCTACCCCTCTCTTACCTGGAGGCAGCTGCACTCACAGCCCCCACACTGTGAGAACCTAAGAATTAAGAATTGGTTCATCAGATGGGTGTGTATATGTGTGTGGGGGTATCCAGCTGCTGTTACAACCTCCCTTTAGCACACTGCTAGCTTTGCTTTTTAAATTTTATATGAGTGGTTCTTAGCAAAGGTTGTCCACCCAGGGTCAGGATCAGAGTGAGTGAGGAAGGCAGCCATATGAGAGGAAGCACATCATTAAATTCTGTGCCCCAGTACCCCCATGGCCTCACTCTGGTCCCCGCCTGTTTCCTTTATGTTGGGTTAAGTCAGCTTGTAGCCAAGCCTCGTAACAGAAGCGCATCATCATATAACCCATTTTAAAAGTCTTGTACACTGAATCACCACTAATTGATAGAAGCTGCTGTCCTATAAGAATGAGGTCTCTGGAGCCTCCCAGGTGGCCTAGGGGTTAAGTCTCAGGGCTATCACTTTGGCCTGATTTCGATCCCTGGCCAGCGAGGTGACCCACATGGCACAGCAGACCTTTCCTGACTCCCCTCAGCGGTGTATTTCAGTCAGTCTGCCTGTTCTGCTCCCCACTCTGGTGAATCCTCTCACTTCCCCACACCTCCCCCTGGCTTCCACCCCAGCTCTTCCACACAGGAGAAAAAGAATTAGGTTTCTGAACCCACTCTTTCAGCACAGGCTCAGTGAGTGCCGACTGCGCACCAGGCAGTGAAAAAGATCAACACTGTCGCTCTAGGCCGGGGAGAGAGAAGGACAGTACAAAACCATATTCCTTAAAAAGTTGGCTTTTCTTCACTGTCTCCAGTTCTCCCTTTATTAGGTCTTGAACCTGAGAGAGAACGCTACTGAAAATGCTCTCCGGGGGGCCTCAGTGGTTCCCAGAGGCTGAAAACGCTGGTCAGTTCTTAGGCTTCACCCCCTCTCCTGGGCGCCCCGTCTCTCCGGGTTTCCAGGCTGGCGCCAGCGCGGCTTTCCCTCTAACCTCGCCCCTCTGCTCCGGCTCCCGCGGTGCGCTCTGCCTCCTGCCAGCTCTCCCTGGGGGATGCCTTAGGGCTTAGTCCTTCGAGCTCTTCTCCACAGCCACTTCCTTGGCGCATAAATAAACCGGCCAGCAGAAGCTCTCCTCTTAGTTGTCTTCGTTTGGGTCTTGCCAGAAGCAGCCCCTGAGTCGGGGATTCGCGTGCAAGTGCAGGCTGAGAGCGTGGCCACAGGAAAAGCTGGCAGAAAACTGCAGTGAGATGGGGCAGGAGAGGCGGCCGGAGTGTACAGGCAGCACGTGGCCTGCTCCTCCTGCGGACTTCTGCCTCCGCTGCAGCATGAGGAGAGCGAGAGCCGCGGGGTTCTGCCTCCATTGCTGGGGGTGGCTCGCTCCTGGGGGACGTTTCCTCCGGCCTTTCTGGCCTCCTGCCGCAGGAGGGGCGGCTTCAGCAGCTAGAGAAAGCCCGGAGGCAACGGGATGGAGAGACCGGCCGTGAAAGTCAGGCCCGCTGCACTGAAATGGCAAGACCCAAAGAGATATGGGGGAGCCCTGCAGTGGGGCAACTAGGCCTGTGATGAGCAGGGGGGCCGGGCAGCTGGCAAACCCCCAGCCCCCAGCGAATCTCAATCTCGAAGCTAGCTGTCTCTCGCTGGAGTGCCTCCCACGGTCTTGCCTCTTCTGCAGCCCTACTGCTTGTCCGTCCCCAGGCGTCCTCCGTCTGGATGACGCTGCCCTTATATCCCCTCCTCTGAGTTTACATGTGCACCCTCACGCGTGCCCACACCATGCTCCCGGTGTCCACAATCAGGCCGCGTGCCCCACGCCTGCACTCCTAAGCGCCTGCCGCATTAGCACAACCAAGGCCACGGGTGACAGCCCCAGAGGCAAGTGGTGTAAAAAGCCTGATTAAAGCGCTTACCTTGCAGGGGCCAACAGCATCTGCATGTGTGTGTGAGAGGCACAGCCAGTCCAGTTCAACACTGGACTCTTGATTTCCCCTACCCCAAACCTGCTCCTCCTACAGTTTCCCCAATTTCAGCAAATGGAAACTATTCTCACAGTTGTCTAGACCCAAAACCTTGAGTATATGACTCATCCCTTTCCCACTATGCTTTCAATTTGTTGGCAAATCCTGTTATCTCTTCTTCTAAATAT